TCATATTCTTTTTAATTTCTAGTAGCATAGAGTTCAATTCCATGAGATTGAGTGCATGCTAAGTTGATAAGTTTATATAATGGATATACTCGAGTAAAAGCCAACCCAAATATCAGCTGAGGCACCTAATTTTACTACAAAAACGGCATTAAAAATGTGCTGAAGAACTCGGCTTATACTCAAGTATATATGGTAGGTTAGGAATTTTGATCTTTTTGCTTTCATAATGGGAAAGTACTTTGGAAATAATTTACATTTGTCCTTGAAGTGAAAATTTAGATGTCCATGAAGGTTAACGATTCTTACATAATATATATTATCATTTCTGTCATAATTAATTCTGAATCTAAATGGAGATGATTTACACAATTTAAAATGTTGAACTTTTAAATGTAACATAATATGCAAGATACAGTATCAGGTGTGAGATAAAGTAGTGTTCATCAGTTATTAGAGATGAAGCTTTGCCACTAAATGTAGATGCTATTAAGAAGGAAGAATGCATTTGTAATCTAATGCTGTAGTTACTCTCCAGTTGTAAAAAGAAAGGTTCAAAATGCACCTAGCAAATGAGTGCTTAATTTGTTTCCTAAATAAAAGTAACAAGGATTTCCTAAGAAATTTTACATTTTACCAGCTCTTCTAGACAGTATCCAATCACACACCCCCTTCCCTTATTTTCAGTCGTTTATATTTCTGTACTGATAGAACTTTCATGCAGGTATTTTTACCTGTTCTGGTTTAGGATGTCCTCTACGCTCTCCATCTCAAATTCCTCTATAACTTTTCTTCCTGCATAGGATTGCTATGAGGCAGAATTCACTCCGTGGCAGTGAGTTTATTTCAACTTTGGCCTGCCTCATTTATTTGTCATCCTCTCCTTCCAGAAATACTCTTTACTCCCAAAGCCTGCCTGGTTTTCTAGGTCTGACTCAGGTCTTTTTCTAGGTCTTTCACTTCCTCCAAGAAGTCATTCCTGTGTAGAAATGCATGTATTTGTTTTTAAATTATTTAATGCCATGAAATGAACTGTATCTTTCGCTTATAAGCATACTTGAGGTCATGGTTTTTGTTTCTTATATTGTTGCATCCTGCGCATAATACATACTTAAAATATCTGTTTTGAGGGCAGGGGTAGTACCCACTGCCATTGAGTCTATTCTGTGTTTGTTTTCCAAGATGGTAAGTCATTATGGGCACAATTATTATAATCCCATCGTGCTCATTGAATGATTGGTCCATTTAAACCACCAACCTTTAGGTTGGCAGTCCAACACTTAGCTAGCAGCTCTACCAGGGCTCCTATTATTGGGGCATATGTTAATGAATAAATTTTCCAATTTATAATCATGAAGTACTCTAGGGAAAACATTCCATAAAATTGTTTAAGTAGGATTATGCTTCCCTGAAAAAAATCTAAAATATATGTTTTTTAATCATGAGATTACACGTCAGAACACAAATACTAAGGCAGTCAACTTTTTTCAGAAGATAAATGAATCTTAATTTACCAAAAAAAGGGCAGCATAGCCAGCCACTGTTCCTAATAGGTTACAGTCCAAAATTGATTACACAGAAGGAACACAAGAATATATTTACATACACCTGAATTATACATGCTGAACACACTTAAGATGTATGATTGAGACATGGGGACGTTATAGTGCTGATGAAATTGAAAATTGAGTTGGCCTTCATTTAGATTCACAGAGAATAGAAGAGATGATAACCACTTCCCATTTATGTGCATTGAACTATTATATTCTCCACAACCCAACTTTGCCCTCTGCTGAAGGCAAGATGTGTTTCCATTTGGATCTTTCGTATGGACCTTGAAAGCATCTTATTAGAAACCTTCCTTTTGTTCTCCTTCTTGTCAAAGCCCAACCTAGGAACACCTGGATTCTTGCCTCCCTCCTGTGTGATACTAATTAACCTCGATGGTTTTTTGCAAGTTCATCCTTAGAAGTCTTTCCCTTCTGAGTCTGTTTGTTCCTCCTGCATAATTCCCAAGCTGTAGCTTGCATTTCTTTTACGTGGAGAATTACATGGTTGCTGTGCATCCAGTGTCTGCTTGCTTCTAATCGGGGTCTCCATTTTTCCAGGATCTCCTCTGTCTGGTGTCGCAGTTCATGCTGAGGTTTTCTGAAACATACTTCTCACACATACTTATTTTTAATGTAAGGAACGCTATCTTTAAGTACACCATTTAGCGATCGTAATTTAATCACCGTATTACACTATTTCCAAAACTTTGAGCATTCCTAGCAGATTTCTCCTTTCATCTGGGTTCTCTCGTCTAGCCTAATGATGTCAAGGCTCATCCATATTGTAGCAGTCTCAGAATTTTTCATTATGTCTGAATAGTATCCCATTGTACATAAAACCTTTTGTTTTCTCCCATTGATAAAAGGTGAGTTTTTCCACTCTGCGAATAAAGCTACAATGAACTTCAGTATATAATTATCTGTTTGCAATCCAGCTTTTGAGCCTTTTGGGTATATACCCAAGAGTGGATTTGCTGGGACATAACGTTATTTCTGTTCGACTCTTTGGAGAGCTGGCAAAAACTTGCGCACTAGTCTACATTCCTGCCAGTGATGGATGAGCGTTCCAATTTTCCCATATCCTTGCCAAGACTTGTTTTCCTTTTTTTAAAGAAAAAGATACTAGCCCCCCTAGGTGAGGGAGACAGACAGGGGGGCCTTCTACTCTGTTCTGCAGGGTCCCCAATGATTCGACTTTGACTCCTACATTGCTGCGAGTAAAGTGATATTTCATTGGTGATTTGATTTGCATTTTTAAAATGATTAGACATGAGCATTTTCATGATCACTTGTATACTTTCTTTGATGAAATGTTCAAGTTCTCTTTTTTTTGATTGGTCTATTTGTCTTGTTGAGTTTTAGGAATTTTGTACATGTTCTGGATGTTAATCTTTATCATTTATCAGGTATATTATTTGCATAATTTCCTCTTATAGGTTATGCTTGTTTTCTTGATAAAACCCTTTAATGAAAATAAGGTTTTAGCTTTAATAAAGTTGTTTATTTTTTTCTTTGGTTAATGTTTTCTATTTTAGCTCGTATAATGAGATCATCGATCGATTTTGAGTTATTAAAGTATGTCTACTAAAATTACTATTGCAAAGCTGCTATTAAGGAAAATAGTCATTCTCTTGTGTTCTTACATAAGGTCTCATAAGAGAATGTTGAAACAAGCAATTGTTGTGAGAGAGAATTGCAGTTTAAATGCTTGCACCTGAAAATCAAGTTTACTTGATGCACCTTTTAGTGGATGTGTAGTAAGTATCTTTTCCTAGGAATTGTTTTGTGTGTGGCTATTATTTTATATTGCATTGTTCAGAAAAGATTTTTAAGGAGGTAAAATTTACAGCTGGACAGTATTTGAATGTTAAGCCATTATTAGATCCTAGAACCCCCGAAAAGGTTCAAGCAACATCTTATATAGAGAATAAATACTGTAATAAAATAGAAAGATCGGGTAGTTTCATAATTTGGGAGAACTTGGAAGATAGGCTATCTTAGTTGGATCCTGAAGGATGCCTTGGATTTAGCCTCTCAAGGGGGATATATTTGAGAGAACAATCCATTTGGAGAGAATTTTAAGAAAGGAAGGAATGATAATAAGAGCTTTCAACACATGAAATAAATCCAGGAAAGGTAAACCCCTCAGAAGCAGTAACCATTCTGTGAGGGTGTGGGAAGGGAAGCGGGAGAGGGAAACTGGTAGCAATGATGGGTGTACAACCCCCACCCCCCAAAGGAGTTGAATATCAGAACTGTGGGTGAAGGAATACATTAGAGAGTGAAAGGTATGAAAATTAATATGTCGTTTATTAAGGGTTCATGGGGGGGTGGGGATAGAGAGAAACTAATACCAAGGGGCTCAAGTAGAAAGAAAATGTTTCGAAAATGATGGCATCATCTGTACAGTTTGTTTTATGTTAATTTATTTATGGATTGTTAATAATATATCTGTAAGAGCCCCCGATAAAATGACCAATTTTTTAAAATGAGGGAATGGAAGCAATCACTAGCATGTTATGATGGGAGATGGAACTATACAGATAATTTGGCATTTGAATGTTCAATTAAGAGAAACCCTAGCTACTAAGTAATGGTGGTAGGATTATGATCCTTAAGTCAGTCAGTCACCTATCACATGTATAATTGGGTTCATACTAGCGCGCTGGTTTTGTCACCAATTTTGATTTTTGAGATTAAATTCTGTTTCATTTATGTGGAGGCAATGTTCTTAAAATATTCATACTTGGTGTTTGAAGCCTTACTTTATTAAAACAGTATAATCTTTTTTTAAGTCATTGGGGGCTCATACAAGTCCTACCACAATCCATGCATACATCCATTGTGTCAAGCACCTTTGTACATTTGTTGTCATCATCATTCTCAAAACATTTTCTTTCTGCTTGACCCCTTGTTATCAGCTCCTCATTTTCCCCCTCCCTCCCCATCCCTCCTTCCATATGAACCCTTGATAATTCATAAATTATTTTTTCATGTCTTACACTGTCCGATGTCTTCCTTCACCCTCTTTTCAGTTGTCCGCCCCCCAGGGAGAAGGTTATATGTAGATCCTTGTGATCAGTTCCCCCTTTCTGCCCCACCTTACCTCCACCCTTCCAGTATCGCCACTCTCACCACTGGTCCTGAGGGGTTCCATTTGCCCTGGATTCCTTGTGTTTCCAGTTCCTATCTGTACCAGTGTACATCCTCTGGTCTAGCCAGATTTGTAAGGTAGAATTGGGATCATGATGGTGGGGGAAGCATTAAAGAAATAGAGGAAAGTTGTATATTTCATCATTGCTACACTGTACCCTGACTGGCTCTTCTCCTCTCCGTGACCCTTCAAAACAGTGTAATCGTAATGGGCTGTTTTAAGTTTTAAGTCTCATGACTGTGGATCTCAATATTCAATGTTTTAAATAGTAAATATTTTTTTTAATATTTTCCCCTTAGGTATCTTAATGCAATTCAGACAATGTGTCCACATATTCTCCGCTACTTGACTACAGCAGTCATAACAAACAAAGATGTTCGAAAGCGCCGACAGGTGCTAAAAGACCTAGTCAAAGTTATTCAGCAGGTAAAAACTAAAATCTTTCGTTGTTGTTTTTCTTAATGCCTAAACTTAAGGTGTAACTGTTCTATTTAAATTGATTCTTGGTTATTAAAGTAAAAACGTTTTAAAAGTAGGCAAAGCTCTCCATGTAGTTTATAGCTAACCCTTCATTGGCCATGTACACTCTAAGTTAGGGTTCAGTAGGAATGGTTGTTGCGCTCTGCTAGGTGGACACATCTGCATTCTATGTTTGTGTTGCTCTTTTGCAAAGACTAGAGAACATGCGGAGCCTGTCGTTGGACCACTACCTGCATACATTGTAAGAGGTGGCCTTTCCACAGAGTGCGCTCTGAGTGGTTTCCAGGTTGTGGCATGTGGGGCCCTGGTAGTGTAGTGGGCTTATGCTTTGAGCTATTAACCACAAAGTCACCAATTTGAACCCATCAGCCACTGTAAGGGAGAAAGATGAGATTTTTTGTTTCTTAAAGATTTATAGCCTTCAAAACCCCAAACGCAGTTCTGTTCATTTCTGTAGAGTCACTGTGAGTAGGAATCAACTCAGTAGCAATGAGTTTGGAGTTTTGGCTTTTTAAGTTCTGAAAAAGCTGAAGATCTTACTGATTGATCATAGTGAGCTTCTTAATAATAATTTTAGATTGTATAAAGTTAAGTTGTATATTTCATCATTGCTACACTGTACCCTGACTGGCTCTTCTCCTCCCTGTGACCCTTCAAAAAGACTTAGCAATGAGTTAAATACAATGGTGTAACTGACATTCACTAAGGTCTGAATATCCCGAGCTAACATCATTTTTATAATCGAGGAAAATCCTCACGTTTTTATTGACTAAGATAATTTTGAAGTCAGCGTTTTAAAGCTTTTGGGAAGGGTTCTAGAGCAGTGGTTCTCAACCTTCCTAATGCTGTGACCCTTTTATACAGTTCCTCATGTTGTGGTGACTCTCCAACCATAAAATTATTTTCATTGCTACTTCATAACTCATTTTGCTACTGTTATGAATCAGGTGACCCCTGTAAAAGGATCGTTTGACCCCCAAAGGGGTAGTGATAGTGACTCACTGGTTGAGAACCGCTGCTCTAGAGTGAACATTTGGAGAACATGGTCTGGAAGGCAGTGTAAACTTACACTGTGATCTGGACTTGGGGTAGGAGTAATTAACTGTTTTCAGTGGATGCTAAAATGAATTGTATGGAAAGAGAAAACAAATATTGTGGTATTCCGCAAACAATCTGATAAAAAAAAAATTAAGTGAGTACCAACTTCCCCCTGACTTTGTTTTACAGGAATCTTACACGTACAAGGACCCAATTACAGAGTTTGTTGAATGCTTGTATGTAAACTTTGACTTTGATGGTGCACAGAAAAAGCTGAGGGAATGTGAATCAGTAAGTCTGAATTTTTACTTATAAATTAATATAGTACTGAATATTTAGATGTTTAGGAATTTACCTTGTAGTGGTTTAATTAAAATTAATAAAAGTACTTGTCATAAAAGTATTAATTTTAGGGTTGGACAGAAACGTGCAAGGGGAAAGAAGGCTAGAATTGTGTTGCTGCAGAGTACCCCTTTTGCCGAGGCAGTTTGAAAACATTGGGGTGATTTGATTCCATTTTTCCACCGAAGGGCCCACCCACCCCCTATAAATAGACACGACTGAGGGAGGGACACACACTTCACAATTGAGATTGTCCGTTTGTCTCCCAAGTGGGTCCCCAACCTTTCTAATTTTTGACATGATTTATTTTACTTTTGTGATAATACAGTCAAGCTGTCTTCTGTTTAACAAAAACTAAAGTACCTTCAGTCTTTCAGACTTAGATTTGATTTCTTTAAATAATAAGTTGTCTTTTTAAAATAGTAAGTTAATGTGGATTGACTTGTATGCCCCCAGGGTATGCATCAACTCCAGGCCATGAGTCTCAGCTGTTTTGCTGTTTTATACCATTTATGTAGTAATCTAATTTGACATTTGTATTATGATGTGATCATCCTCCATTATGTGGCCTGATGTAAGAGGATTAGAGTGGGATGGATACGCCACCCTCACTCTCTTCACAGCCTGTTCACAAGTAAGGGCTATTACAGTGTTGTGCCGCTGCGTAGGGTTTTCTTGGCTTTATGGAAGGAGATCAGAAGGTTTCTGTTCCTTTCATCCTTCTGTGACTTCTATGACATAGAATGCCCACCTACAGCTGTGGTTTAGTGAGAATCTGTTACCTCACTTCTAAGGCATGCTGCCGTTTGGTGACGGCATGAATCTGAAGAAACGGACCTCATCCCACCAACCTCAGCACTACAGACCACTTGGGACATATGTGTCCCACTATCAAAATTTATTTTGCTTTGAAATGTTGTTTATTGCATTCAAAATGCCTTCCATTATTGAAAACACATGGTTTTAACAACAACAAAATCAGCAAATAATTTGGTCTTGAAAGGTTTAACATTATTAGTGGATCAAACAAACATTCCAATTGTTATGCCCCCACCCCCCCCACCCCCCAGTCTTCTCTCACTGCTTTGTAAATTATTGGAAGCGTGAAGATAGTGTCAATGGAAAGTGCTGTGGTGTAGAAGAGTTAATGCTATTAGATAGGATTTGTACTGAACAAGTAAAGCAGCAGGCAAATATCATGGTTTTAAAATTTTTTAGGGTTTAAAAAAAAGTAGTAGTTTTTAAAATTGCTTGTCAGCGTGATTAATTCTTTCTATAATTTAATGACCCAGGTGCTTGTGAATGACTTCTTCCTGGTAGCTTGTCTTGAAGATTTCATTGAAAATGCCCGACTCTTCATATTTGAGACTTTTTGTCGCATCCATCAATGTATCAGCATTAAGTAAGAATACCTAATTTGATTTGTAGAATGTACTTTTTAAGTTTCTGCAAGTTTCCATTTACTGTAAAGTTTCACTTAATAGGATTCTAGTTTAATTACATGTTAATTTTATTTCCTTTTGCTTTTAGAAGAAAAAAGACAATTTGATAGTGATTTATTAAGGATCTTAATTTGTGAGAGTTGTTGAGTGCTACTCAGCACTCCCTCTTCAGCTTCCCCTGTGTGCAGCGCAGTCTGCTGGTTGTTGGAAATGATCGCCTCAAGGCAGTGCATAACTGTTGGTTACCTTTCTTAAGAGTAAATACTACCAGGCTGTTACTTAAAGAGAAAAGTGATGAATAGCATTGATGGTTTCCAACAGGAGTTCAAATGAGTTAGTCTATGGTAAATCAGAAATTCTGTTGAAAGACCACCACATTTGGTAATCATTTCAGTTAATTGAGTTTGTTTTATTTAATTATGTATTTGACTTCCTATATCGTAAGTGCCTATGACATGCTAAAATGTTGAAACATGGAAAAATTATTGTGAACTTCAGTTAAAATTTTCTCTGTTCTGTGAAAAAAAGTATTGGGAAAAATGTGTGGCTTACATAACCTATTAGAAACTAATTTTACGTATTAGAGTTTGAAAACTAACAAGTGCCCTTGGCTACAGATGACGTCAAACTAAATGCTCAAAATTTTTTTTTACAAACTTGCTGCTTTATTGTTTGTCTCTAAGGAATTGTATGTAGGCCAAATTCCCTTTCTTTAATGTCATTTGTTTTGCTAAGGCATCCATACTTGCTTGCCTCATTTTGGTGAGTTGTCATTGAAGTGGTTGTCCAGAGTTGGAAGTCTAGTGTGTTCATGGGCTTTTCCTATGGGAAAAGCAGTGTGATTGGTGCTCTTACAGCTATCAGGCCGATGGCTTTAACCTTGAGTACTCTTCAATACATGTAGTTGCTGTGAAAGAAAGAGATAGGTATGTTTTATGTGGCACTGTAGTAGATAACAGCTAAGTTCTTAGGTTACTTTTTGTTTTCAAGATTGATAATTAGGGCTTGCCAATGAGCGGTTAGTATTTTGGTTTTCTTTGTGGAATTTTCCCCATTCCTCATTAGAATCTGGGCACTTGGATTTGGGTGTTGATTGGTCTGTTCTTGTTTGTTTGGTCTGGAAATTAAGTGCCTCTGTTTTGAACCTTTTGAAAGCAGACTCTGTATCTTTAAGACCGTGCGTACTAACCTTATATACCATGTATTTTAAGTAAATATTTGTGCAAGATGGTTTGTGTAGGTCTAGCTTTTTTTATTAGCTAAGCTTGAGGGCAACTGGTTTTGAGTATTGTTGCAACAACCAGGGTAATAGATCACTTTAACAGAAATATTTTCTAACAGTGTAATATGCTAACAGTCCAAATCCAGAGTTTTGGTTCTCAGGAGAAGCTTTCTCTCTGGCCTCTGGAAGAGCATCAGTGTAAAATTTGCCAGGCAGTGGTTGTGATCCATAGGACTCGGCCCAGCGCCTGTTTCTGCATATTGCTCAGGCTTCTGTATAAATACAGCAAGTATCTTATTTCTGACTCCAAGAATTTGAAATCCATAATGACCAGCAGCCACAAACTTGATCTTTAAACAGCACATGGAGGGGTGGGGCCGGGGTGTAGTAATTGTCTAATTCTGAGGTTTTTAAAGCTTGAAGTATCCTTGTACATCAGAATCATCTGGAGAACTTAAAAAAATCCCTGGCCTCTTCCCTGACCCTGTGAATCAAAATCTCTGGAATGAAGGCTTGACAACTAGAGGGTCTGGAATGAGAGCTTCCCAGGCATTTCTTTTGTAGTCGGCCTTGTGGAACCATCATTGTGAATTGTGACTTACACTCTTGATCATGTATCCCGCAGGCAAGTTTAAAAGAAATAAAGATAATGGATGACTGACCCCAATCTTTTAAAAAAATTTTCAAACATTTTATTGAGGCCTCTTAAAGCTCTTGTAACAATCCATACATCAGTTGTATCAAGCACATTTGTACATATGTTGCCATCATTATTTTCTAGACATTTATTTTCTCTTGAGCCTTAAGCTCCCTTCTCCCCTCTCCCCATGGTCCCTTGATAAATTATAAATTCTTATTTTCTTATTTTACACTGACCCCTATCTTAAAATGGGAAATCCTAGCATACGCTATATCTATTTTTTAAAAGCTTCCTTACTATTCTGATGTAAAATCTTTCCACCCCTCAGACGGTTTTATTTTAAGACGATTATATCATAAGATAAAATGCAGGGCTATTCCCTCACCTCATTGCATGCTTTCTGCCCATTGTGATATATTACAAAATAATAGTAAAGTGTCACAACCAGGTGATAGATTCAAGATGCAGAACATTACCAATACCGCGAAGCACCTTCTTGCTGAACTTTTATAAATAAGTGCATGCTTTTTTTCCCCCTCCCAAAATCTGTGCCCCAATCCTGTAGTTTCTTTTTTTATATAATCATTTTATTAGGGGTTCATACAACTCTTATCACAATCCATACACACATCAATTGTGTAAAGCGCATTTGTACATCATTCTCAAAACATTTCCTCTCCACTTAAACCCCCGGCATTAGGTCCTCATTTTTCCCCTCCCTCCCCGCTCCTCTCTCCCCCATGAGCCCTTGATAGTTTATAAATTGTTATTTTGTCATATCTGCCCTGTCCGACGTCTCCCTTCACCCACTTTTCTGTTGTCCGTCCCCCAGGGAGGAGGTCACATATAGTTCCTTGTAATTGGTTCCCTCTTTCCTACCCACTCTCCCTCTACCCTCCCTGTTTCGCCACTCACACCAGTGGTCCTGTAGGGCTCATCCGCCCTGGACTCCCTGTATTTTCAGTTCCTATCTGTACCAGTGTACATCCTCTGGTCTAGCCAGACTTGCAAGATCGAATTCAAGTCATGGTAGTGGGAGCGGGGAGGAAACATTTAGGAACTAGAGGAAAGTTGTATTTCTCATCGTTGTTACATCACACCCTGACTGGCTCATCTCCTCCCCGAGACCCCTCTGCAAGGGGATCTCCAGTGGCCTACTAATGGGCTTTGGATCTCCACTCCACACTCCCCCCATCATTCACTATGGTAAGATTTTTTTGTTCTGATGATGCCTTATACCTGATCCCTTCGACACCTCGTGGTTGCATAGGCTGGTGTGCTTCTTCCATGTGGGCTTTGTTGCTTCTGAGCTAGATGGCCACTTCAAGCTTATTTTAAGACCCCAGACGCTATATCTTTTGATAGCCGGGCACCATCAGCTTTCTTCACCACGTTTGCTTATTCACCCGCTTTGTCTTCAGTGGTTGTGTCGGGAAGGTGAGCATCATAGAATGCCAATTTAATAGAAGAAAGTATTCTTGCGTTAAGGGAGTACTTGAGTGGAGGCCCAATGTCCTTCTGCTACCTTAATGATACACCTATAAATATAGGCTCTTAGATCTATTTCCCCATCCTCATATAAATATATTTGCATATGTACATGTCTTTATCTAGACCTCTATAAATGCCCTTTGCCTCCCAGCTCTTTCCTCTATTTCCCTTGATTCTCCTCCTGTCCCACTATCATGCTCAGTCCTCACCAGGATTTCAGCACTTCCTCTTTGTTACATTCCCCTTGATCATGCCCTACCAGGTCTCCCCAATCCTGTAGTTTCAAGAGTAAGCAAAACCTTTTTGGGGGTAAGATAGCAACATATTATTTCCCGTGATTATGATTAATAACAGCACGATTAATATTGCCATTCAACGAAAATGTTAACTTAGTTTTTTTTTCTGCTTCAATGACAAGGAGAATACTTTCAGAAAGCTCAAAATACAGAGAAAGAAACCCACATTAAATGTTGAACAAATAATTGTGAAATTACAAATTCTGATAGTTTTGAAAAAAAAATCCTGAGTGATAGGAGAGAATGACATGAGCATCATTTATATTTTGGAGTTGGGTTGTGATAAAGATTATTCTTGACTTTAATGTCTAGGTTTTAATACCCACTGCAGTGGCTACACACAACTCATAGTATTCAGGATTAAAGGGTGTGTTAAGGAAGGTCGATTGCAATGGAAATCAGAAATACTCAGGATCGACTTGCTCATCAAGAAATATTACAAAGTTTGTGGCATAGAGGTAACACTCTGGACTGATAATAGATTAGCAGTTTGAAATGCTTCCAGGGAGAAAACAGGCTTTCCACTCCTGCAAACAGTTAACAGTCTCACAAACCTACTGGGGCAGTTCTACCTCTCCCTATAGAGGTGTCATGAGTCAGAATTGACCCCCATTAGCAGTGAGATGCTAATAAATGCAAAATGGGCACACCACTCCACTGGAAGCCTCCACCTCAACCCAAAGGCTTTCAGCTCAAGCTCCTTGGGTCAACAAATTCCGCTCTCCCAATTAAGTGCCTAGCAGCACCCAACTCCACAAACCAGCTTCCTGCCCCAAAGCACACAGCTTTATTTACTCCTTGGGCTGGGAAGTCCACTGCTGTTTCATGTTCTGGCTCCTGGTTCTGCTGCTGCTTCTCTCATGTGGCAGCTGCCTTTTGGATCCAGGAGGTTCACTGCAGCGGGATCTTGAAATTCAGAGAACATATTCCATTCCAGTCTCTCGCTGGTAGTGAAACACACCCCTTCTGAGAGGGCGCATTTAATATGCTTCAGGATGACATTCCCATCAGTTTGGTTCACAATTACTCACAGGTGAATCCACTTTTTCACCAGACCCTAGAACAGCCACATTAAAGAATTCACTGCCCCTGCAACTGTACCCTGGGAAATTCTTGAAGTATAATATCTTTAATTCACAACTAAGCTAAACTTTTTTCCCATTGGTATACTAATTAAGACAAATTACTCCATTCACTAGTTTTTGCTGGCCTGTCCCTGCCTATAATTAGTTTAAAGCTATTTAATATGGGGAGGGGGTGCCTCTAGCCTCCATGCCTGCCCCAGTGGACTAGTTTCAGCTGCTCAATAGAACAGTGCTACAAAGTCCATGCTCTTAAACAACTTGTTCCATTGTGATTTGGAACAGTCTCTGTTAATAGGTTTCTTAACTAAATGACTGTAAGCACGTGTGATGGTCATATCTTTAGAAAAATGCGTATTAAGAATGTTTATCAGTTTATATACAACCCTATAGATTTGTAGGATAAGTTACAAATCTGTTTACCATAAAGTGTGCAACATCTGTCAAGAAAAATTACTGTGGTAGGATTTAATTTAGTATAGCTGAATAGTATATCAGATATGGTGTGTGTCTGAAATTTAAAAGCTGTTCTAAAATAATTCTTGGACCCGTTTTCAATTGTAGATAAAAACGAAGTATGGAAGTAATATTTTGAATGTTGTATGATAAACATGTTGGAGCATACATTAATATAATTTCCCTACAGGGGTTAGTTTTGGCTTTTCACAAAACACAGTAATATTTGCCAACTAGTCTTGCATTTCTTTAAGTTATGAAGTCATTCTACTTTGCTTAGTTTATTAAGTAACATTTTAGGTCTTAATATTTTTCTTAAAGGTCCTATAAAACTGTGCAACAACGTCTGTTCAGGGTCGTTCTGATATTAAAGAGAAATTAAAAGATCCTTTTCCAGAGGAAGCGAAAATAGCGTTAAAATCCAGACTTTATTGTATGTCTGTGTTAAGTGTACAATGCCTGGTGGTATTCTCCTCACTTAATGTCTTGGAGGTTGTAAAACCCAGTGAGGCTTTTCAGTTGTCACCGGCAGCATGTATTATACAATTTTTCAGTAGTGTTCTATTTCCTGCTCTTCATTTTACATTTAAACATAGTTTATACTCAACACTTTGTCTTTAGTTAGGTGTTATAACATATCTTGATATTTCCAGATCCTTATCCTGGTAGGGAGGGTGTTTTGGAGAGCTCACGGGAGGGAAACCATCTAATCAGTAGCGTTGACCACCTTTCAGAAAACCAGCCTTGAGATGTGAAAACCTCATTGGTTCCCTAGGGCTAGATTCATCTATTGTTTTCTTAAGTTGGAGCCCTAGTGGACTGCTAACCAGCCCCCGTGCAGGAGAAAGATGAAGCTGCCTTTAGTCTCAGAAATCCTAGGGAGCAGCTTGTCTCTGTCCTCTAGTAGCGTCTCTGAGTTGGAATTGACTTGATGTCAGTCAGGTATATGCTCGTAAGTAGGACTACTGGTCCCACTTAATAAGAACAGGAAAAGTCTGAATTTATGCTTAGAAGCATGACTAAGTTTAATTAATGTAGTTAATGTGTTTGTGTGTTGTGCTCATCCCCACGTTTCCTTTACCCTCGCCTCCCTGTAAGCACCAAGGTATGCAGCTTTTGATGAGAAAACCATTTCTCCTGAATTTTTCTCTTACAATAGTGGCCTCATACAGAATTTGTCTTGATGGGATAGACTAACTTTAGTGAACACAGTGTCTTCCAAATTCTTCCTCCGTGTTGCAGGGTGCTTGCTTTTGTAGGCCTGAATCATGCCCCCTTGAATGGATGTACCAGAATTTACTTGTCCATTCTTTCACAGATGGGTATTTTGTGTCCATATTTTTGTCATGGTAGAAAACATGCTGATGAATACAAATGTGCTTATTTCTGTTCCTGTCTTATTCTTTATGTATTTGGGCTATGGATGGTTGGGTCTTCCTGTTTGCATTTGTTTAAGAAAGCGCCACATTATTTTCCACAGTGGTTGCACAATCCTGCAGTCCCATGAGCAGTGAATGAGGGGGTCTAGTCTCTACACAGCCTCCCCTACGTTTGTTATAAAATACCTATTTTCATGCTGCCTATAGACAAGGTTGAGATTTTAGTTTAATTGAAAATGATTTTTGTTTCAAAAATCTGAAAGTAGATATTTTACCAGAAATTATGCATCTGATGAATTCTGTCTTTATACTAAATGATTTCATGTAACGTGGTCTAGGCTAGCATAAGCCAACTTGGACTTAAATTTAATTTCATATTTTCATTTTTAAATGTTTACTCTTGTAGACTTTCAGGATTTCATTCTATTCGTTCATTTTTTAGCTTTGTCTGTGTTAGTATTAAAAGAAACTGGACAAGTGTCACATTCCTTAATTGAATTTGAGAGCTTGGTAACCCGAGATGCTATCCATCATTTACTAATATTTTGGGGCCCTTATTTCAAGTTTTTCTTCAACTTGATTAAAGGATCAGCAAGCACAATGTAAACAGTAAATATCCCTAACGTGGAATTAAGGGTCAGGGCATGCAGACATAGATGAGTTCAGATCACCACTGGCCGCGTTGGAATGAGTGTTGGAGTATGGCTGTCAAGCAGAGGAAGGGCCTTTCAAAGCAGTCAGAGTGCCTCTTTCCTGCGTGTGCTCGCCCTCACACCCCTGATCTGTGTCTGCCTTTCTCCGCTCTCCGGGACCATGGTCGGCAGTTACGTAGGGCATAACTCCAAACAGTGCTCCAAAGTTTACAGCACAAGCAGGGGCCGTTTTCATGATTTTTATCATTGCTAATGTTCCATGTGGTGAGTATAATTATTAAACAACATAGCACGACGTATCTCCCATAGATCAGTCCTTGTTAAACACTGCTAAGTGTAAAGCACTGGTGGGGAGCTGGGCAGATTCCCCTAGATGCCGATGGCAGTGCCCCATCTGCAGTGGCTCTCCCAGCGTGGGTGTTGAAATGTGATAGAGTGTAAGGTGCACAGTAAGCTGAGCGGGACAGGTGGTGAGGGTCTTGCGTGACACCGTTTCCAGCCCCACTCAGCAGTGCTGTCCGTACTCTTGTCACCAGCATGCTGGCGGATAAACTGAACATGACCCCAGAAGAGGCTGAACGGTGGATTGTGAATTTGATTAGAAATGCGAGACTGGACGCCAAGATCGATTCTAAATTAGTAAGTATTTTGTGCGTTAAGCGACATTTCTAACTGTGAGTTGCTGAATATTTCACCTTTGTTTTGCTTGGGGGCATTTTTGTTGTTGTTGTTGTTGTTGTTGAGTGAACATTGTTTATCTATAGTGTTACATCTTTCTGGGTACCTTCCCTGTGACGTTCAGTCAGGATTAACAGGATCCCTTTCCCTGTGTTTCATTTCAGGGTCACGTGGTGATGGGTAACAATGCAGTCTCACCCTATCAGCAAGTGATTGAAAAGACCAAGAGCCTTTCGTTTAGAAGCCAGATGTTGGCCATGAATATTGAGAAGAAACTTAATCAGAATAGTAGATCAGAGGTAAACATAACGAGTTTTCTGTTTGGTGTGGGATCTAGCAACAATAGAACACAAATTATTACTTAGACTTGATTTGAAAACATATTTAATATCGTATAAAAATTACTAACATTAAAAGAATTTTTTTTCTTAGATGCATTCTATGCATTCTTCAAGGAAACGGAAAAACATGAAGTGTTCCTAGTTTATTATAACTATGTTTCTTTTCTTACTCTTCCTGTGTGACTTCATTAGCTCGTTTCCTCAGGGCTTTCTTTAACACATCATTTTGATACTGGCAGATGATAACTTACATGTGTAGCGCTCTTTCAAGTGCTTTGAAATGTTTTCCTAAATCTAAAGAATTAGTTCTGTAAAAATGTTATCTTACTCCATGTACTAGTGTTGCTGTTATACAAATTTTCATTTTATCTTTAGTAATCATGTTGAAAAGAAAAAAAAATTGTATTTTGGTAGAGATCCTATTGAAGGAACTTTAGTAGCTTTGTTATAATTGAAACCCAAGCTGCCCTTCAGGCTTCTTCAATATAATTACCTGGGAAGAGAAGGGAAGCCATTAGGAAGTAGCGTGGAACATTTGAGGACTCACTCAATTGACGTTTTAGGAACAAGCTTGTGCCACCCAGTATTAGGAGAAAAGAATTAGAAACTTGTCCTTGCCAATTGTGACCTGAAAACAGCTTTTATGTAATACTTGTGTCTTTTGTGCTTAAGAATGTTGTTAGTGTTGGTGAGACTGTCATTGTTATCCTATATAATTGCTCCCACATGATACCAGATATTTTCATGTGTTTATTTTATTCTTAAGTGGGACATCTGACATGAAATACTCGTAGACCAAACCAAATCCACCACTGCTGAGTCCTGTGAGCACTGCTATCAGTACTCGACTTTTGAGTAGTGCTTATAAAGATTTTTAAAACCTTAAGACAGTGGTTTGTCAGGACTGGTTAAATGTAAAATGCTGAAGTAAATGACGACACCACATTTTCCCATGTTAACCGTTTTGGTTTGTTTGCTTTTTTGTTTTGTGTGTTTTTTTCCACGGTAACATTTTTATAGTCTTTTCTATGTACCTGGTTGATTTTTTT